CCCCGAAACCTCCCCGGGGACGATGCCGCCGGCCGGGCTGCACCAGGATTTGGCTGTGTTCTTCACCGCGTTGTTGGTACCGGTCGCCCGTGGTCGTTCCCCGCTCACGTTTTCCCGGTGCTCTCCTCCAGCCGCCCTCTTGGATACGGCGCCGGATTCGTTTTCTTCGGCGTTTACAACAGGCGCGCGCGGCAGCTCCCGGCTTTGGTCGGCGTCACCTTGGCGCTCGCCCGGCTCACTGCGGTTAACTCCCTCTTCACGGTGGGGGTCAGGCAGCTCCGCCGGCGGGCAGCTGCCGGTGCTCTGGCCTGGAGTATCCGCAGGGGGAGCGACCTCTCCGCCGGCAGCCCCCTCCTCTCGTGCTGGCGCAGCGGAGCCGCGCTCGGGACTGTCACCGATATTGCCCGTTCCGCAGGGAGTTGGGGTTTCGGCGCCCAGCTCTTCACCGGCGCTTCTGTGCCGCTCCGTGGTCGCCACCGGCCGATCCTCTTCTGTCTCGTCCACCACCGAATTTGCCCGTTGGTGTGCCCCCGGCTGCAAGGCTGCTGCCGGGGCAGCTGCCTCCGGCGACTTGCCGCGTACACCGATGCCCGTCTCTCTCCCTTCCTGAAATAACAAGGTGCCGGCATCACCCCTGTGTTAAAAAAATCCCAATCTCCGGAATTTTTTCCTCCTCCCTTCGGTGTAAATGCCGAAGGCTGAGTTTGCCAACGGAGGAAAAGCAGCGCCGCAGAGGAGGCTCCGGCCGTGCCGTGAAGGGAGTTTCTCAGCACCCGAGCGTTTCGGCGATACCCGGGAGCTCGCCGAGCGAGGCGGGCTTGCCTGGAGCCCAGGACAGGCGTACCTGCGGTAAGGGGCCGGGGACGTGCTCCCCCGCCCGGCTTTGCTCCGGCGCAGCCGCCCCCTCGTCGCCCCGCGCTGTTAAAAAACAATAAAACACGTTCAGCGAGCGGTGAGGCGATCGCCGGGTAAGTCACCGCACAAAGCCTGGTTCACCCGCAAACCCCCGTCCCCGTTACCTCCTCGGCGCGTTGGTCGCGGTGCTGCCGCGGGTCATCTGTCCCCGAGAGTTTGGTTTTCCGTTGGCATCACTGGTCTGAGCCGGTCCGGCCACATCTAAGCCGTCGTCTCCCATCGCTTCCGAATCTTCCCGAAGACTTCGTTTAGTTTTGGGAACGTGGCATTTGCCGTCTCCTCCTTTTAAAGGGAAAAATACAATCCTCAGACATCAGCCTTTGGGGTAAGAGGGACGCGGCCCCGTGTCAAACGGGGAGAACAACCTTTGCAGAGGTTTTGTGTTATTTTTTGTTACTAAATCCTACGAACCCCCCCCCCCCCAGCCTCTAATGATTGAACTGAGAGGGGGGAAAAAAATTCGCTTTTAGGGCTTTTTGTGAGGTGTCGGCTCCACCGCGCCCGCCCCTTCTCCTCCAAAACGCCAAGAAATGGGGTTTGCGGCACGAGGGGCTCGGCCGCAGCTCCGTGGGTGCTGCTCCCTCCCTCCCCCACCGCCGGCACACCCACTGCCGGCGGAAAGTCGCTTGTTTTTGTGTGTTTTATCCCTAATAACCCGTATTTTCCGCATATTTGTAGCGAGACGAGGGGACGTTTGGGGCAGCCACCCAGGCAGCGCGTGGCACGGAGGCGTCTCGTAGCGAGCGGCCCTAAACCCCGAAGGCGCAGCGCGGTCGGAGGGGATTTGATGGAAGAGGTGCGGAAAAGGTAAACGCTGGGTGTCATTTTGCTGACAGATCGGGGCGTTTTTTGCAGTTTAGCGGGTTTGTCATCATGAAGAGCCCGGGCGGTTTTAGGGGTGCTTGTTACCAGCTGAATATAAGGAGCGAGACGTGGAAATACGGGGCAGGTTGGTTGGGCTCCTTGGCGGCCGCCCGACCCCGTCGGGCCCAGCGCGGCCGCGGGGGCTTCCCGCCATTACCTGTTACCTGGCCGTCCTTCCGTTTGCCCATCGCCCATC